ATAACTTTATACGCCTAAGTGCGCTCTTAAAAAGGCCGTACGGGTAAGATACGGCGATAAGAAACGGTATAATTTTTGGCGTGACGTCGACGCCGTTTATCAATTAAGTATACATACATATTTTAATGACGTTGTACATACAATCTCGGCGTGTAGCCCAAGATTTGGCGTAGCTAGTTATATTATTGTAATATTTTCTTTTAGCGGTATGTATGTATGTATGTATGTGCGGCCAACAAACGGTAAGGCAGCAAAAATGAATTACGATCCGGAATGCCGGAAAGCGACACGACGGCCGGGAAAGATTAATGGGAAATCCCAGTGTTAAGCATGTTCAACGGCAGGGGGGGGGAGGTTGGAAAAAGCGCGGCCGACTTATACGAAATATAAAGGGGTGGACGGTCGCCGAGGTATATAGTAAGTTGTAATAATTATTTTAAACAGTGAACTCCATTAGCGTCGGCGCCTCTTTCTTTCTCTCTCTCGCTCTCTCCTCTCTCGGTCCGACTGGCAACAGAAATATATAATACAAGCAATGACGACATTTATCATTTGCAAAAATATCTACCACCGGCCTATGTGCGCCGTCTCTTATAGAGCCAAAGAACACAGAAGGCGCGCGGCAAAGGGAGAGGGAGTAAGTAAGTAAGTGAAAAAAAAAAAGAAAACGGGCAATTAAGATCACCAATCTCGCGTCCTATATACCTACGCGTCTTTTAAGTTTTTTTAAACGCTTGCCGACGATAATGTATATATATGCATACTCGTTGTCGACTTATTAAAGGGCCGAGGGTACAAAAAAAAAAATAAAGTGTACATAAAATAGGTGCGTACTTCTTCTTATCGGACCGACGAGGCGAGCAATCGTCGGGGGTAGCAGCGGCAAAATGAAAAAAAAAATTAGGAACTTGAGGCGCGGAGAAAAAAATTAAATCGTTTAAAACGAGACAAAAAAATACATATATATATATATATATATACCGGACTCGCTTCTTTTGTATGCTCGCTATGATTTACCGCACGGTGTTTTATCTGGCCGGCAATAAATCTACTGTACACATATACACTATATACCCACTCCATACTCGCTAAAGAGCGAACCAAGTCGCCGGCAAGGGGGTCGAAGAAAAAGTGCATGCGCGAAACCCCCTTTGCGAGGTGGTGTAAATATGAGTAGTGTGTTGTTTTTTTTATTTTACTTTTTTTCTTGAGTTATATTCGCATATATTAAATTTTTTTTCAACGCGCCTATCGCGTCTCCCGTTGTTGCCGCCAACACAGTACTCAGAGGCTCATTATGTATACACACGAATCCATTACTACCGGCGACCACATTGTACGCGACACGGTTGTCTTATCGCTGGTTCGCCGAGCGTTTATTTAACGTTTTTTCGGCAATAACTTTAGGGACCCAAAGTATAATGTACTCTAAATATACTTTAATCATTGTATATATTATACACACCGTACTGTGTACAGAGTAAAAATATACCTACTTGCGGTTTGGTCGGACAACGCGCGGCTGAATGGTTGTACATTTTTCTCATTTATTAAGACCAAAAAATAGTTGCTACCACATAACCGCATAGTAGGGCGTCCCGTTCTACCCTTTTACTAGAAATGCGTCTGAATGACCAGTGTTGGAAAGATAATTAAAAAAAAAATTAAATCGCAAACAAAATCAGTCAGAATAAGAAATTTGATGAATAATCAATTTACTTATTATTCGATTACACCGAACGACACACAAAGACAGAGCCTGTTTGTAAACACAGTATTAGAAGTATATTATTTGTATTTATTTATAGTAAAAACAATATTTTATTTTACTTTCAAAAAACGATAGTGCGTGAAAATTTAAAGTAGTCAATCTCAATTTTGCCAGACCGATTGCTATGGCAATAGCAATATAATATACCTAATTACAAAAAATTGGCAAGTTCATATTATATTGTGAGATGTGTGTATAGTATAAACGCTCCATTCTACCGGTAGAACGCTTTATATATGTATATAGAATATAATAGCTATAATAATGACCTCACGTATATATTGGCTTCCGCAAGTCAAACAAGGAAATTGGTCGGGGATTACTGCCAGGGTCCGGGCCGGCCTATAATAAAACGAATTATGAGCGATAATTATCACACCTATTTGTGCACTAGAGTATACGATAAAACATTTTTTTCAAAATAGAGAAAAACTATAATGGGCGGTTGGCAGCACTCGGCGCACAGTAAATTCTTTGGAAATTTATAGACTTGCTTCTGTGCTCACCCGGACGTTCGCGGACCTGCCTCCTTCGCGCTGTACAGCCCTCGCCGGTCCACGCTGAGACTTGTATATATGTATATATTTTATACATACACGTGCGTGCCGAACAATTTGGCGTAATCTGGGCACAATACCAGGGGTCCTAAAGTTTAGACCCATACATATATACCTAAGGACTTATATGTAAGGCCGTTGAAAATAAATCAAGCGCACCACGACTTTCGAGTCGCTCACAACTAAATTCCTCGCGGTCAGGAATCCAAGTATAATAATATATATTTTACACAAACATAAACGCGTTTATTTTTAGCAGCCAACGTTTGTGAGAAACTATTTTAATTTTTACCTTACAGCCCGCATTAAGCGACGCCTTGCGCCCAGTCCTTTACTTCCTATACTAAGGTTTTTTTTCTGCGCGCCCACCCTTCGAGTGTGAACATTAAAGTTTTCGTCGTACACACAAGTATACAATACAAGCATAGCGTGTGATATATAGGTAGGTATAGCTGATGTGTACATATTGTTTTCCGTGTGCCACTGCCGCCAACGCCAGAGAGAAATTAAGAGTTGCAAGGCAAATGGTCGGTGGCGGTGGCCGAGGGGCGGATCGTCGGGCAATGCATCAAACCCACACGGGACCGCGGCGGAGAGACTTTTAACTGCGGCCATAAGGCAAAAACCCGCTTTTGGATTTTTTTTCTCATCTAATTGAGACGTTTATATTGTACACGTATACACCCTCACACGATTCGAAAGAAAAAAAATAATAACCAACCGCGTATGGAACCACCACCCTCAAAAGGCAGCAAACGGCACTGTTGTTTTTTTTGTTAAAAATTTACATAATATGATGAGTAGCTGTTTGTCTGCGTTGTTGATTTCACCGTATACCAGAAGCGGATTGGTTAAAAATAAAGGCATAATCGGTCCTAGAAATCGGTAAGGCCTCATAGGGGACATTTTTGAATAATGCAATATTGGAATTTGGTAGAATATTCGATATACATCCGTCCGTTCAAGAGTCTCTCTACTTGAGATAGCAAAATGTACGAGCAAGCCGTTTCTCAAAACAAATGGCCTTGTAGGACGGTGGTCCAGTGATGCTATTCTGTGTAAAATGCGTTTGTCTTGGACGGCGGTCACGTATTATCACTTTATCCGTATCTATATATAAATTTGTATTACAAGTATACACAGCGGTAATAGGTTAATCTGACCACTGAAACCGATGCTATCGCGGAGCGTAACGTTTTTTTTAATAGTTTCGAGTTACTATATATAAATATATACATTGCATACGTCATCACGGGTATTTAGTGTGTATAAACGTTTGAACCAAAAAAAAACATAATGTATGTATAGGTACGCGACTATCCTCCATATGTAAGTCTTTCCGCTTTTATAAGCCCAAAATTATATTAATGATATTATTATTGTTATCATTTCTCTTCGACCCGTCTCGTTAAATGCGATTTTAAGGAACAATAATTACCGAAGACACGACTGCGGACGCTCATCCTATGATACATACATAGGTATAACTGTACCTATATATTGTAAAGCGGGCCCAAAACCGTACAGGCCTATATATAGGTGTATTCTAGACATTTTTTTTATACTGGGCTCGAGCAATTATATTATTATCGTTTTCCCGTCGGCACATAATAATATTATTTTATACATTATTATAATAATAATTAGTAGGTTTTTTTATGCCTTGGATTTTCTTCGTGCCAGAACCAGTGACCGCGTCGTTGTATATACAGTGTATAATAGCTGTTGTTAAGACACTGCTGCGTAAGTCACTTTATATCCGTTTCAATATCAGATTATCTGTACGGGTTTAACGGGTTGACCGAGCCCATCATCGATACTCGCGCGAGATAAGCCTTTAAGGGTACAACGTAGCAGAGATACACTACGGTGGGTTTTGTCGGGACGTCCCAGTGTCAGGGTTGACGGAGGATGGCAAAACATAATAAAAAACAGATAAAAAAAAAAAAGTAATAAACATTATTATTATTTTGATCGTTTTTGACCACAAGCGAATAATAATAATAATAAAAAAAACGTGTGGAAAAAAAATATTTATCGAGCTACCGGAATTTCGGACAAATTTTTATTGCTATTTTTTTTCTTCAAAATTTTTTTCTCATGTTATGCGTTATGGCCAAAACGAGATTTCACGGTACTCGACACCACTGTACGATATCGACCGCTGTGTTTGATTTTGCCGTTCAGTATATAATAAAATATTATATTATTATATGTACATACCAAAATACACGGTCGCCACCGTAAAGAATCGCACTTCCCGCCGGTATTACTATTACTGTTATTATTATTATTGTCAACTGCTTATGGTTTGCGTGCCGGGGTTTCGCCTCCAAGTAGAGGTAGGAATAATATGCACACGTCTACGTGCAAGTATCATGGCGGCGGGTGCAATCCTATTGTATCTATCTACACGACATAGGATATGTATACCTGAGGGTGTCGTCCAGGCCGAAAGGCAAACAAAGGGGGCTGGTGTACGACGAAAAACGAGTTTCACCTTTGGCAACTTTCACTTTATTATTTATTGCCTTATATTATATTTAATTTCATACACCGGCGTCGTTGACAGTAGTTGGCGGCGGCATCATAACACATACAATAATATTAGCTATTTACTGTGCGCTACTAAAAACCGTCCCTGCACACGTCCTTTACCGATCGACCGAGGCGCATTTAGTCCCGTACATCCGCACCGGTAACACCGCGGCCGTCTTGGCCAAAAATCAGACTTGCGATTTTCCATCGACCACCGCCGCCGCCGGTAAGTAAGAACATCATACAGCATCGAGACATTAATAGTTAATGTAAGCATACAGTTGTGTTAGGTCCACCCACGCATCATCGTCTCTCACCCGTTGTGCGGTTTTCCCAAGTATATAATATTATATAGGCCGAACAAGCGTTCTTTTTAGTTTTCTGTATATACGTTTGTGTATATACACATATACATAAACGTGTAAAGAGGGTTTCTTATATTGATTTAAACGGGTCTCCTGGGCATGCTAAATATCCGTCCCCCACCACGACCACCCCCTACCGCTTTCCCACTTTCACCGCGAGCCGTGCCATTTCGGTCCCTCAAAGGGGTAATCAACCACCCCTCACCCCCACCGACGCGCATAGGTCATTCGTGTAAATGCCCGAATAATTTAGGACGTACAAACATTTCGCTTAATACATTTTATTATTATTATTATAACTATAAAACAAAATCCTTGTTAAAAGAAAAAAGGTTTTTTTTTGTTTTTTACCAGCATTTTTAATTTATTGCCTAGTTGTTTTACATTTCCCGTGTACTTTCTGAGTGTATGTATACAACTCAGGCATTATTTTTTTTTTTTAGACTATTCTTATAACGATAATTACTGTTTTAATTTAACGATCAAAAAATGTTTGACGGCGTACTCGCGTGTGACAAATGTATTCGACAAAGTTGAACAATTTACAACTCGCTTTTTAGGTGCAATTTGTACAACTTAATCTGTGTATAATATTAAAAGTGTAATAAAGTAAAAATAGAGAGATATTATCTGAAGAGCACAGGGGAAAAACGGTAGTAGTCACATTATGACATTTTTTTTGTGAAAAAGTTTTTTTCAATATATGCCATTATTATTTTTTATTTATGTCAATAGATTGTTTAAATAAATACATTTTTTATTAAGATAGCATTTAATGTGATTTTTTTTTTGTTCTGTAAGAAGGAGAGGAATTCACGAACTTTGTTTTTGCTATGCTGTAAAATTTTCATAATGTGACTACTACCGTTTTTCCCCTGTGCCCTTCATTTATATAACAGCTATAGTTAAATTATTACCTGTCAACTCAATTTGCAAAACAATGTATGTTTTTCTAGAATGCAACGCCCAACGATTATGACACCTCGTCGACCAGTAAACTTGGCTGAATTGAAAAAAGAGGTTAACATAAGCGCAATACTAATAATGTCGTTGCACCCGGACCGGCCATCTTTCAACTGTCACACGCTGTACATGCTATACTTATGTATATGCTACTTGGCAGAGATCACTGCAATCGATCACTACAACATCCGAACCGTGTCAAGGTAATTTTGTTTACTACGGTTAAATATTATTTTTTAAGCATGACAAACGTCATAAACACTGCGTAACGTACCACGTGAAAGAAAGTTTAAAATTTGACATAACACCAATAAGTATATTATTAAGTTTTTTGTACATCGTCATTAGTGTTTATAGAAATTTATTGCGTTTTACAATAGCTCGAGTTACAAAAATCGATGGAATTTAGAGTGGACGTTTATAAATTTCGATTGAAAATATTTATTTATTTATTTATTTTTGGGTACCTAACACACACGTTTAGGTATGACACGACTGCACGCGACGGTTGTGTAGCTAAATGAACGTCATGAATAATAATAATAATAATGTACCTATATAATATTGTCTATTTGATATTCTATCTCGAGAATTAGCCAATAATTATAATTCAAGGTTAGAAACACGGCGTTATAGGTATTTTCTATTTCGTTGTATATATACTCGAGTAATTTTTAAAACGTATTATTATTTAAAAAATACAATTCATAAAAATATATGACCTCTACGCCGAAAACAGAAAACGTGTTGTCCAGTTCTACCTATAAACCGCTTCGTTGCGACCTATACCGTGGCCAGCTATATTTACAATATATATAATATATATATATATATATATATATATATATATATATATATAAGAATATCTGAACAGTCCTAGGCAACCAATAAATTTTCGTTTGACTCGTTTGTTAAAATCCAATCGGTTTCCTCATAAATTATAATTACTAATTTAAATATTCTATAACTACAAGAGCTGAAGATCAAGATATCAGTTTTAATTTACCTTATATCATTGCGCATATCATATTGATATTATTACATATATCTGTATACATCATAATATCATGCGTGTGCATTTACTGAGTGGTTTCTCATTCAACTGCAACTTTGTTATGTATTATTAACAACCGACCGGAAATTTTTTAACTTTATCATTTTAGTCCATCGATTAACCGAGAGATGATTCGTAGTGTTCGATTTGAATTACAAACTAATATTTTTATTCCCTTACGTTGAATATATTACCTTTACAACCGCCTTACAATATACTGCTGCAGGCTCTCTACACTATATTATACTCCAGAGCGTTTAGCGAGCGCGAGAGAGGTGATTATACCCACTGCCGTTAAACACCAAATGATAGTAGAACTAATAATATTACTATGATGTGCTCGAGACAACTTGTAAGGGAATTCTAACGGATCGTGTTTAAGCATTGGCCGACGTGGGGACAATATATTTTATTCACGGCGGTCGTTGATCGGTTGGAAAAATATGTAAATCTTTTTTAATGTTTTTGAATTATTTAGAGAAAACTAAAATTGAACAGTTACATTTTACAGGCGTAAATAAATGCAATAAAAACGTAATTCCTAAAAAATATTATTGTCATTAAGCTATAGAAATATTTCCAGCGTTTGGAAATATATTTTTTAAACATTTTAAGTCAATATGACCGAAAAACACTACATCTAAATTGGTACATGTACTTGTACATTGAAAACCGCGCGTTATCACCAGATTTCCACAAGTCTCCCGTCTTATATAATGGCCGCTGCTGATTTATCTCCACTGTAAAATAATATACATAAGATATAGCACATTATGTGTGCTTGAGACTGAATTCAACGCGGTCCAGATAAGACACTATATTATGTTTACACACTACGGCCAACGGTCAACGGTCTCCGTCCAAAGTTGTGTTTGTTTTCATAAAACTCTGTTGGTCGTCGTCCGGTCGTTAATTTTGGAAAAGGAATTAGGGGGATGGAGGAGGGTCAGGGAAGGAGAGAGCATCACAGTCTGCATATTTATTCATTCCTGTCTGGACGCGGGAAATATCGAAAAGGCCCATATTGTGTAAAATCCGATTTCCCGAAGAGAGTATAATATATGTATGTGAACGAACGAAGGTGTCCTTCCCCTCCGGCGTGGGTACACATATATTATAATTGAGGTCATTTCCTTCCTTCCTTCCTGTCCTTTGACCGCACTGGACACACACACAAGCGGAAAAAGGTCCTCGGTAGCTATAGGTATATACATTTATATGTATACATAGGTTGTGCAGGGGACATGACGCCGGGTGTTTGATACATGCTCGGATTACAACATTCACCATATAAAACACAAGCGCTTTTCCATCAGGACTTGTTGTGTTGTTACAATATCACAGCTACGGTCCGTCAAACACCGTCGTTCATATAGTAGGTATTATTATGGTGGTATGGACATAGTGCAAAATCGGATGACCAAAATGGCATTTAATATCATACCTAACCTGACCGGCATGAAAAACTTGAGTAGGCTTACAAGACATTGCCCGTCTTGTATTTGTATGTGTAACCACCAGGGAAAGTGGTGCAATAATTATTGCATCGCTCTAATTTAGAAAATTCAACTTTCAAATTGCAACCGTTAAAATATAATACATTTTGTACGTACCTCCAAACTGATATGCAATTGCAGTAACTTTGATTTAAAACGACAAATTATATTGTCCAGGCTGTTCATGATTAGTCTCGGTGTAACGTTAAAACAAAATTAATTAAAATATATTTAGAGTTGAAGATTTGTGAATAATTAATTTGTCCTTGTCATCGTAATTGTCCACGTTCGTTTTGTAAGATAACTATACCAATTCGCTTATGTGTTGTTAAAGAAAAGATGATTTTTCAATTAAAAAGTAAAGCCATAAATGTAATATATTTAACTAGAACGCGCATGCACCGACGAAAAAAAAATACATATGTAGTTGTAATAACTAAATAAATAGTTCAGCTAATACTAAACGTCTTGTTATGACAGCTATTTATTTACTGTTAATCAAACTATGTGTTTTTTCCCCGTGCACTATATTTTATTTTATTATTGCAAGGAAAATACTACTGAACTCTTGCTGATATATTTGATTAAGACATAAATAGCTAGATGAAAAAAAAATTAAATAAATTACTTAATCTTAATCCGTAATACACTGTGTAAAATGTTAGATACCCGGGACATCCGCCGCGCGTGTAATTATTTTAGCTTAGATATTTTCTTGTGTTCCAATGAAATTTAAAAAATAATAATAGGTTTAATGAAAAACAGGTTGAGGTAGTAGGTTGTATAAGACCAAGAGTCTTGTTGTACAATTATTATTGCTATATGTAAGGACATAACGACCTTATATAGGAACATTGCGCTTACAGTGCAATTCCTGTTAAAAAAAAAAAAAAAACACTTGTAAGCATCAGAGAATATGATTATAGCGGTCAAAATAATTAGGTAAACCTGCCAGGAATATTTTGTAATCTCTCAATCCGAGGCTAATTTTCCGAGTTACCGCTTCGGGAGGGTATAATTAAAAACGAAAAAAGCCATTCAACATGTTTCGCGATAATTATATTATTATAGTTAAAAAAAAAAAAATGTTTCACAAATAACAATAATAAATTATGCAACAGCGTATTCTCATTTTTAATAGTTTACCCCCAAACACGGTAATTGCCAATAATCGGTTATCATATATTATATTATAATAGTTCCGTTATATTATTTATGGCCGCGGTCGAACGTCGTCGTTGATAATATATTATAGAAGTAGTTTAGGTGTATACTGCTGATGATATATATAAATACATGTTGTTGTTATTGGCCTTATCTAAAAGATTTGTAAAAGTATAAAAGTTTTTTTTTCAGCCGTTCCGGTGCAGCCGTACAAAGTTTGCGACGTATAATAAATAATACAAATCAATTGTATAATAATCTTCGGCTTTAATTACTATTGTTATTAAATAATATATACCTATATGTTTGTGCGTCGGTTCCATGTTATTTATTTACCCGGCATTAACAACACAAACGGCCATATATTCCGTCGTTTGGTTTTGCACATTAATCGTCCGTTTGACAATATTATTATTTACCACTGGATTATACACAACACGTGTGTCGTTTTATTGCACACCTTCGGGCCAAACCTCTCCACCGGTTAACCGCGGTCATAAACATTATTACCACGGTGACCGTATATTGTTGTACGAGTCGAACGCGGCCAGCGAGTGTTTTTTTCGACAATAATATAATGTGATTGCTGTTAAAATAGCTGTTATTTATGCACGTTTTGTAGATAAGCGCCCCCAAAAATGTGCAAATCCATTCTACACGTTCATATTGTATTTAATTATTTATCAAAAATTATGGATAATAATTATCAAAATAATATTTTTTATTGTGTCTAAGAAAAAAAATAAGTTGCTGAAACAAATCGAGTGAATTTTTGACAAAATTGTGTTTATGCTGTTTGTACCTACATCTTCACAATATGTGAAGAGACGATAAAAGTCTGGTTGTTCAAAAAATCTTATGACCAGCAAGCAAGGACTTTTTTAATTAGTGTAGAAACATTAAAAATGATCAATTTTTTCAACCCCCAAACGTTTGGATATTATTCCCTATGTTGTTTCTCTAATTGGCGATTCAAATATTATACATTTCCTCATACAGCACAAATATAAAAATATTGTAAACATCTTTTTAAAACGTTTTATTTAACATGAAATTAAAAAATAAAATTTGGCCATTTATATAATATATTATTTAAATGTTTCGCATATTTTAAGTACTATTTTGTGAGTAATATTAGCATTGTTATTGAATTACTAATACCTAAAATGATTTATAAGACAAAAAATGATTTATAAAAGTTTGTTTTTTTGTATGTGTTAATATTTAAATGATCATTGTATATATTTTCAAACCACCAACCAACAGCTATACTTGTAATAATAACTATTTAATTTGTAAAACATAATATTGTTAACAAAAAGTTGTCATGTATTAGGTATACAAATATTTCCAACGTAGTTCTTATATTTTAAATACAACGATACAGTTTCTTCATATTTTAATAACATTTCATTAATTTTTTTAAACACACATTTACTCTTCTGTCAGAACAGAATTAGATAAAAAGCATTTAAAAAACTATTAACACATTTTTTGCCAGCATTTTGAAAACATGGTTACGCTAATTCCATAAATCACCTCATGACGTACAACAAGCTTCGATTTCATTGAACGGAAATGACAATTTTTTTTTATTACAATAATATTGCGTTATTATAATTATTATTGTTATTCCGTACCAACAACCAGTTTGCGGCCCATCGTCCATTACACACGAGCCGGGATGTTTTACGAGTGTTTTATAGTTTGCACGCCATTTAAAAAGCCATATAAACGACGGCAAGCTAAAGTGTGTACAATAATAATAAGCAATTAACCGCGAGAGATGGCAAAAGGAAACATATCTATATATACCTATATATATAAAATTTTTTTTTTTTTATATATTTTATAATACACCCAACTGTTAACGATAAATCGCCGTCGCCGTCGTTTAATTATTATGGCGCTCACAGTTTTCATGTATACCTACATAATATTTTACTTTATAGCAAAACTATATTACTTATAGGTACGACGGTTCAACGTGCGAATAGAAACTTGATACTTTAAAAAAAAAAAAAAACACTACCAAGATATTATGATGATTTATTCTCAAAGTCAAAACCGATCACAACATACAAAACGAAAACGGCGCTTTTTACAAATGTTTTTTTAACCTTTATTAGCCGGCAAGCGTGCACGTGTAATAAATATATTATATACATATAAGTTATAACCGTACAGAGGACGGGCGGGGGGTGTATCGTCGATGCCGTGGTTATGGAAACGGATTTATGGCCGAGCTCCAAAAGAGGATTGCGGTACGCTGTGTGTGTGTGTGGAAAACTTGTGTGAAAGCGGCCCATGTGTATACCAGGGCGAACCTCGTGTATGTATGTATGTATATATATTTGTAAATGGAAAAGCAGTATTTTGCTTGTATGTTTGTGTGTGTGTGTATGTGTGTGTAGGGTGCAGGGGTGATCGATAAATCCGGCGATTGTGTGCGTGGGCAATCCACATGATATAATGAATTGGCGTGAACGACCTATATTTGATATATATATATATATATATATAGGACAATTGGCGACGACCGATATAAGAAGCAGCGACGGCAAAAGTTAAGGCGCTAAAACGATGCTGGCCGTTTCATATGATTTTTACATTCGTATATCTTATTATAATAGTTATATGCACCACAGGCCATAGCTAGTCGCATATAATACCTATTATCATCTGAGACCTGAATAATTAATACATTAACAATTTTATAATAATGTTTAGGCGTTGAAAATGAAGTTGAGAGTACCTAAAGAAGGTGCGCTACGTGAAGAAGGCTCTCGTATCCGACCAGCTACTAAATTCTAAAAAGGTAAAACGCAAACAAGTTCTGTCAGTACACGTTGTACAGCTCAGTGTTATTGGAATAATATTAACATTTAATACTGTAGTTTCAGGTTATTAGGCGAGGAAAAAAAACGGATTCGACAGCGTCACTAAACGCTATTCATCATTAAAAAAAAGGTATAGTCAATCGTGTAGTAATGATATTATTCTTCAATAGACTCGCGCGGCAATAAAATAATTTCCTAAAACGTTTTATCGGCAATAATGTTTTAATAATAGTCACTCTATTTTTTAGTATTTTATTTTACCAAAACTGTGGCAGAAAATCAAACATCAATACAACACATATTATACTTACAAATACTACATTATTTAAATAGTATTGCCCTATTTCATTTAATAACGACTTAATAATATACATATATTTGATAATGATCGTTCGTTTAGTGTACACGAATAGATGTTTTACTGGGTTTCTTTTTTTAAAATTTAATGTATAATTTTTACCATCGTACCTACGCATAAATTAACGATGGCCGTTCAGACAAAAACAAAAAAAAAAATTATTAATAAGACGTTCTCAATCGGATTCTGGTTGTGGAAGGTTATGTGTCGTTCATTCATGGACACGTCTTACAATTATTCGAGTGATTGCGCCGAAACGTATGTTTGTTTTGGTATGTGTGTGTGTGTTCAAGTAGAACGGGGACGGTGTGGGTTTTGGAAATAAAATAGCGTTTGTACAACCGTAATAATAATAAAAATAAGTAAACGCCGGTGCCGCCGTCGAATTAACAGCTAATAAAAGTCAAATCGACTACCGGATTTTTATTTTTACGATTACGGTCGTATCCTACGCCGGCGACCAGCAGGTTTATACTTGAATTTATCGTTCTTCTCTTCCTACTCCTTCGCGTCTTCAAGGTGCAGCGGTCGGCCGACCTTAACGCCATCTGTCGGACATCCGTCGCGGGTAACCGCTACATTTGAATCGGGGACAGCTTTTTAGAGTTTTTAATGGTCTGAACTTCCTTAGCCCCCCCCCCTCTAGCTGCGCCAACGGACACGGGAAATTATTGTGCCCCTGACCCGTTTGACCGTACACACAGCACATCACATACAACCAACCTGTTATTATTAATCACAGCGGAAATTTGTTCTTTGTTAAAAATTTGGTCGTTTGCGAAATTTATTAAATTTCTGATCAAATTCAAACAGGAATTCCTAGCACAATTTTTTGCCAAACTAATAAATAATAATATTTAGGTACACCGTGTATAGCTCTGGGCCGTCGCCGTCGCCAACGCCTTGACTATTTGCACACGTTCCTAATATATATATATAATAATATGCACGTTTACTTGTATATAAATAATAATTTATAGATAAACCCCGTACAAAGTATATATCGAGAACGCGTACATTTTAATAGGTGTTTTATTTGATTTTTTTTTTCATTTTTCTCAAACAAGATTTATGCTACCTAAAGCGTTACCTATGTTGTACCACCCAGCCACCGCATAAATTAGTACCTTAGAGCCGATTGTATTATTTAATAATATTTTCATACACGCGTTTAACTAAAACTACTATAATTTTATAGCCATAGGGTTTAGACGAGATTAAAAAAAAATTAATATATAAATTATCGTTACAAATATTTCTAATTTGTGTCGTATCGTATAAAAAGTAGATAGAAAAATAATATTAATTTTGAGTACAAACGAGTCTGTGCGACATAAAACATAATTATCAGAAAAACCGCAAACACGTTGTCTATAACGAGTTTAACGCCAAGTTCGCACCTTTACGACTATTATAGAGGTGATGAAAAATTAGCTATCTTGTATACGTTGTGTATTGTCATTGTAATAGTTATCGACAAACGGGTTCGCGAATCGCATCTGTCCATCTAATAGTCAACAATTGTTTCGCCCTAGTTGTCACTGCTTAATTAGAGGTGTATATCTAGTGAATTAGTGTAGGGCCCATGGCTATTTATTAAACAGCAAATTAGGGACAAACAAATATGCGCTAGTTTTAAAACAATTAGGTACACTTGCTTTCAATGTTTAAAATGCAATATAAATCAGTTACATGTAATTTAAACTTTTTTTTTTTTTTGTGGTATTTTAGATCTTTAAAAGCCTTACAAACTTACACCTACTCCTGTGGTTGACCGATTTAAATTCCAGGAAAGAGACTCGAGTTCTTTGACAATTTTTATGTGATAGCCGATTTTCATTTGAAAAATTCAGATTCTTGTAATTAAATAAATTTTTTTACATAAAAAAAAAAGCAAAAAATCCGTTTCCAGCCAAAGAACTTGTATAGGTATATCATTACGGCATTGAAATCGCACCACTCTAAGTATAGTATAGAAACAGATAAATCGCTTTCAATCCCTGTTAAGATGGTATTATTATTAAAGCACATAACCATTGTTGAGAGAAATTTGCTACAGCCAAAACTGAAGGGGACGATTCCGGGGCAGGCTGTATTATCATTTCGAAAACCCGTGAAAATCGACCTTTTGAACCGCTGTCGCTAATGAAGCCATAAACCGCAAAGGGGGGGGGGGAGGCACGACCAAAAGCCCCTTTTCGATAATTTCCATACACAAAAATATACACTACACGTGACGACATTTGTTTTTTTTTTTTTGTTTCTATCTCAAAATATCGTTTGTTTTTTTTGTTAATATTTTTTTTACTAATACATTATTATATTTCCATTATGCGTATGTCGTGTGTGTGTCGCCCAAAATTTCATTTCTACTATATTATAATAACGTTAATGGAATATGTTGTTTACAGTCGTAGATATATACATAGATCAGTCGGCGTCTGCGGGGGTTCATAAATTATTCTAGTTTTCCCTGGCAGTATTTTTTTTTTTTAACTTTTTTATATTTATTTAATTATTATTTTGTTTTGTTACAGAAAACCCAAACGCCGAGTGTTCACTTTCCGTGCGAACCAAACATAATATACATGCCAACATAATGTTACATATACACAGAGAGCGTCGCCGACAAACATTCTTGGACGATAATAATTATTGTTATTACTATATATGTACACTAATATATTGTAAAATTTAAAATGTTTAATTAAAAAAAAAAAAAAAACATCAGGTATAACATATTTTTTGTGAACGTTCTAATTTTTTTTTTCATGTTCTTTCAATAATTGTGCATTTAAATAATATAACTATTAATATTTCTGTACATCCCGTTAGTGTGTTAAGTACCTACCTATACGGATTTTTTTTTTTTGAAGCAAAAAAAAAAACAAAATAATGAGCAGTAATAAATTGTAAACGTTACATAATTATGTGATATAGATGCTTAGATGTTTTTTCTTCTTTTTCTTTCTCACTCACACACTAATAATATATATGATCATATTATTTATATATTATGTATATTATCTCTCATTTTTAATGTACCACAAACATATATCGACAAAGGGTCGACCGCCGACCGTTACACTGTGCAAGCGTTAAATCATTACGGTACACATGTTATGTTAAAATTTTATATTTATTTAATTAATTGTATCGATTGAAAAGACAAACGTACTATATGAGTGTATACATTATTATAAAATTAACAGATAAAAACCTAATGTATTAAAATATGTTTTGTTTTATCGAACGAAATTTGTACGCACATTAATAATCGATAATTATATTTATTTTCTCCAGTTAATTAACGCGTGTCGATAAATCATTTTTTCATTTAAATACATTTATAATTTTAACGAGCTAAAAAATACGTTATAATTGTAGATTTTTTTTTTAATTATTCATAATATACTTAAATTACAAATTATAAATAATTTTTAAAAAAAAAACAGTTAAACTGGGTTCTCGCTTTTATGATCGCCAGTAATGAAAGCCTTGTAAAATTATGCATAAATAATAATATATAACCTAAATATTCTTATTTATAAGAGAACTTAATATTTCAACTTACACCGAAAAACTACTTTTATTCAACGCATTTTTCTATGATGTATATTTTCTTATATTTGTTTTTCATTGAAAATTTTTACCAATATTGACAAAAACGTCATATTTATAATACATAAGATATTTGAATTCATATTGTCCAGACAATCGGTATCATGGTTTCCTATGCAAACTCAAACTAATAATTTATACTTATTGTATTTTTTGTCTATTTATAATTTTTTGTATATCAATTGTTTTTCCATTTTTTAAATAAATATATTTTTTAATATTGTCAAACACCACTTTTTCTGTATAATATAATTTGTTAATAATAATAATATGTATGCAGCTTTGGCTGTTGACCATAAAAAATAAATAACTATTTTGTGGTAAAAAATGTGATTTTGCTAACCACAATAAATTGTCACTTAACTATTTTTGGGCTTAACAGATATGCATTAAAAAAAATAATAATAATAAAAATAAAATCGTCTGTGACTGACCTAGAGACTGACCTGCAATGGCCATCCACGGGTAGAACGTGTGGTTGTTCTGCTGCTGGTTGAGCTGGAGCGCCTGTTGCTGGTGACCGTTGTTGTTGATGCCGGCGCAACTGTTCCAGGAGGCGGACAGGGATCCGGCCGAATTGCGCGCCGAGTTAGGGCTGGTACCGGGGCCTCCGCCGTCCAGACCGGAAACGCTGTTGCCGGAACCGTAACCCACCCGGGACTCGGGGGTGCAAACGTTGGGACGTAACAGGGAACCGTTGGCCGCGGCCGATACCGGGTTGCCCGGCCACACCACTTCTTTGGGCGACGACGAGTATCCGTTTTGGTGTGCCACGGCGGCCGACGAATCGGTTTTCACGCAAGGTTCGGTCTTGGTGTAGTTGAGTCCGGCCGAGGCGGACACGGCGGTCGTCTGGTCGGACCCGCTGCCGCCACCGCCACCGCCGCCGCCGCCACCACCGCCGCCGCCGCTACCCGCACCGTACAGCTTGCAGGCGGCCGCGGCCACGGATGCGTCGTAAGGGCTGTCCTGCGGGGCCCTGGTCTGCGAGAGACCGTGATGGTGATGGTGTTGCGAGGACGCGTACGGTGACATGCCCAGGCCTATGGGGAACCTGTAGGCGGCCGCCACGGCGTTCTGGTCGTGATGGTGTCCGGCGGACGACTGGTGGTGATGGTGTCCGCCGTAGAAACCACTTTGTTCAAAATAGGAATTCATGTTTGTTTTCGCTTATTTTGGCAAATACTTATAATAATTTTCCGTCGCTCGAAACGACACTATGATTATTTTTATATATAATATAATATCCACACGTGACGCGATAAGTCAGTCAAGTCAGACTTCACCGGAGTACATGCTCGAGACGATCGCACTGTTGTTGTTGTTGTTATCGCTATTCTATGCAAAGAAAACGCACTTGTTAACCGTCGTTTAATCTGTCGTAAAAAGGGTCATCGTCTCTCCGTCGTTTCCGGGACGGGTCGTAAAACGCGCGCGATTTTACGAGCGTAGTAAATCCGCCGCGGTGTGAGTACGTAGTAAAAATCTCGTGCGGCAGACGCGAGGAATAATAGTAATACAAAAAAAATTAAAAAAAAGGATAATAATTATAGTAAAAAAAAAAAAGAGAAACAAAAATTATACTATATACGACTTGACACGAAAGAAGAGCGTTTTGCTTACGACGAGCAAAGTTTAGGCGGCGCCGCGTTATCGTTATGCCGAATAATAAGATTTTTTTTTTTAAGTGCTTATAGACGACTTAACGACGGGACAATCAGATCGTCACTGGCACACACACACGAACGCGCCATGTGACTCGGGCCCCGCGAGCGCTCGCCGACTTCTTCCTCCGCCGCCCCCCTCACCCCGTCGCGCCACGCTACCGCGCCGGCCGGTCGCCGTGTGTACACCGGCCGCGGTGGCGGCGGAGTTACCGCGCGCGCACACGCCGTCTCGCGGGATCTCCCGTTTTCGTCGCCCGTTCGCTTTTATTGCGCCATTCCGGCCAGAAACGGGTTGCGTACGCCGCCAAACGCGTGTGGCCGCCGCCGCCGTCGCGTATTACGGCAATAGTGGCAACGGCGGCGGCGGTGCTGGAGGGGTGAAGAGCGGGCGGCGCGCACGCGGAAGGACCCATTAAAACGGAATCGGCGATAGCGCGGCGGCGGCGGCGGAGGGAGGGGCCGGGCCAATAGCCGTTCAATTCGTCATGGCCGGCGTGCATGCCCGGTGGCGCCCCGGGCACGCACGCCGTCCGCCGCCACTCTCTTTTGTCCCGTCTTTCGCCCGTAGTACACCGGCCGCGCATACCGTACAGAGCCACGACATCTGTTGGACGCCAAAGCCGTAAACCACGGGACGAGTAAACTCAGAAATGTTGACAAAGACTCGATTTTCGGTTCGGTATGTTATTCGCCAAATTGTACATTACAAATAACACAAATTAAATTTTAAAACACACTGTTTTGATAATATTAACGTTTTTGTTTTCATTTTTTTTTTTTTGGCAGTTCTTCCACATTATTAAAAATATGCGGTACACTTATTTTATTACATTCGCTTACTAGAAAATATAATAATATGTAACATTTAAAATGTATGGAACAACTTTGAGAAAAATATAAAAAAACAGTTCTTGACCGTTTATGGATGGTAAAAATGTAAAAAAGTCTTATACAAAATTAAAAAATAACATTGAAATATTAACGTTTTTTTTTTAAATATTATTTTAGATAGAACCTCTTTCATAAATAAGCTATGTCAATCTAGTAATATTTAATAATTACAAAAATATTTTCTAATTTCTTACAATACATATCTATTGGAAATGGGAAATTTTTCAAAACAATCCATCGGAATTAGTCTTCTTTAGAGTTCAAAGATAAAATATAACTAAATAAAACTAAAAATTGGTAACATTAACAATTTATATTTACTGAAAAATGTCGAATATGATATATATATATATATATATATATATATAATTATATGAACAAAATTAATAACCCGGATAATTTTTTCAGTCCAACAAAAGTGGTTTAGAATGTGACATCAAGTTAGGGATTTTATGTATATGTTTTTATTTTAATGATAGTTTACAATGTACATAATATAAAATAATTATGATTAAGTTAAAAATCACATGTATTTCAGTCATAGTTCTGGTTTTAATACATTAATCACTTTTTGAATAGTAACAACTAGTGTTATTAGTTATTCAGTGTTATTATTCAGGTGCTGAGCATAAGTAGTGTGCTCGAATGCTATTATTCTGTATGAAAACGAGAGTGATTTTGTTATTATTTATATTAATCCTTGCACGATAACCATGTAATAACATATTAAAAACTATTATTATTTTAATGAAGGCCTTAGATGTTGAAAAAAAAAAAAATTTGCATTTTAATTTCACGCCTCGGCGGCTACCAAGAACATATTATAATTTAAACACTTTGTTTAGTTTGTAAGAATACGCCGGTATATCCAGTGCTCGATTTGGAAAAATAAAAGAAGGGGAACGTTTTTACTGAGAAAAAAGCTTACCCGGCATTTTTTTTACCCCTTAGAAAACCACCACTTATAAAAATTAGTAGAGGTACCCTAGAATTAATATATAGCTGAGATTCTTAACTATATGATGTAGATTTCGTTTGATTTTCCCAGAAATCCACGGTATGCAAGAAATTGATGAGATGAGAAATGATAATATTAAAAAATATAGCATACTTTTGGTTATATTGCATAAAATGGACTGACCGTTACATTATAGTTATTATAACTACTGTTTGTATATGGTGTACAACAAATGACGACTAGTGTCTTAGACGTGAGTGAACAAATATTGAATTATTTTGACAACATTGATGGGTTCGATGGTTTGAAATTAAGTAGCAATATGTGTAATTTAAAACAACTCAACAACTCAGTTATAAATACAGTTTTAACTTTAAAGTGTTTTTATTTTGTCATTACACACTATAGAACAGGATCGACTAAACAAATAACACACTTCAAATCTTTCTCTTTCGGTGGTTTTAGTACAAAACAAACCGTATTTGTTGTTGGACAAACAGCATGTGTGTATAAATAAGAAAACTTCCATTTTAAGTTACAGATTACTTGTTCACCGTTATACTTAAGCATTCGTGTAACTTGTTACACACGCAGGTTATTGTACAACAGACTCATTATTGTGTGCGTGCGGGTTATAATTATCGCAAAAGATAATGGATATAATATATCATATAGTGTATAAGGCCCAGGCGAACGCCGTTATCTCGTTTAACTATCTATTTTACATATTTTATATTTAACATATAGCTTTTACTCGTGTGCTTATACCTATATACAATAGTATTAAGATTATATACCTACCGCTCTTTCATATTATATAGTAATCGCATAATATTGACATTCAAGATGGGTTTAGGTATAAGTTAAAACCATATTTAGTCGTTTTGTTTAAAAAGCACACCAGTTGTAAAACCATCACTGGTAATAATAAAATAGTACTAAGTTGATTTTGTAATTTGTTTCCGAAAAACTGCTGCACCTGATTGGCAACACCGTGTCAAAAGCTCATATCGAATACAATTGGTGGTTACAATCTGGAAAATTAAGATCAGGCTATACTTTAAGTAAGTAAAAAATGTTGTCAAAAGGCAATCTATAATCCAGTCAACATGTGTTTACTCATATCATGTGATCTGGTCCAATTATTAAGTCATGAAAATTGTGATACTTTTATTGAACTAGAGCGAACACCTTATAATATACCTTGGATTAACCTTGTATAGAGTAACGTCATTACCTTTAAGTTTTCAGCAAGTGACGATTTTTCATTTCTTATGAGTAATTTATGTGACCTTAAATTGTAATTTCCAGCGGCCATAATGTAGTTCTGAAAAAAAAAATAACAAAATATATTAGATTATTAAAAAACAACACAAGGTAGAACAATCCCATATAGATAATCGAAAAATGTATGATTTTTCAATTATAAAAACTAAACTTATATAGCGTTCCAAATGTATTTAGTTAGATGTGTTCAATAATAATAAAGTAAATTTTTTATTTAAGGCGTTATGGTGTGGTCGGCCAATCGATGCGTTTATTTCTTACACAATCGCCGGTTAAACGTCTCTATTTACTACCAGTGGCATTGTGAAGGTCAGTGTGGATTTTATTGCTTTTATTTTTCTGAGGGATTCGGTCGTAAAATTCATTCATAAGCGCGCGCGTGATCCAACTGATTGACGGGGCTTGTGCGTAGCGCCACAATGATTATGTCGTTTGTATAGCAACCTGTGTGTGTTGTGTTTGATGCCGGTTTGTGCATTAAAATACATTGTTTAATGGTAACCGACATTTTATCGGGTCGTAAAAGGCAAATAAAAAGCGATCGTAATAATGATTATGGCGTCGTGGAGGAGAAGATGCCTTTTATTTTTTTTTTTTAACAGACTGCTTATGTGTAAACGGTACGATAATCGTATAATTCCAAGTGTATGTGTGTAATAAAATGTCCATAAACGTAACCGTCAATGGTTAATAAAAAAACAGCGGCTCCCACCTTATAGTTATGGCGTGCTCAACGAGTCCTTGTGTTGCGGCGGTGGTGTGTTGTCAGCTGGACAAACCAAAATACAATACAACAATCCTTACACATGCTAATAATGTGATATTATGCACAATTTTTGATACATACTAAAAAGTATGCGATTGTGTACCTATTGCCGGTGACAACCATTTGGGGTTTGAATACAAGGATCGCATCTGTGCGACAAAGGTGGAAACGCGTGGGAGGAGGATGAGTGCGGCGCCATCTGTCCGGTCCACCCCGTCTTGACCGCGCACGACCGACCCGCCGCTTACCCTTAACCGATGGGAACTCTTGTAAGGGCGCTAAGGTGAGAAACAACACAACGGAGAAATTTGGACAATTCAACTGCAATTATAATAGTCATATCTCTGAAATCTTAACGATAACATGGCATCAGACTTACCCCTTTCTCAAAAATATTTTTTTAAACATAATAATAATTATTAGTATCCACTACTAATAGTAGTTATTATTACCTATCCGTCCACATAACTGTGTTTTAAAAAATAGCAATTGTGAAAACTGGTTTGTTTCCAAAATTTAAATGGAGTTGGTTTACTCCATTTAAATTTGTTAATGTGATATTTACCATACTCGCCCGAGATAAATTTTTGGTTTTCCGTGTTAATCAATGATCATTTTATATAGGGCAGGGTAGGGTATTATATTCTATATTAAAAACATAAAGTATTATCTAGCTAGAGGATCAATTGAGACTATTTGTTACAAATGTGTAATTATTCGTAAAAATAATAAGTATGAATTTAACGAAATGAATAAAGTGCCGAAAATATATAAATTGAAAATTATGAATTTCATAAACATAGGCTATATACGTATAATAATTTGAAGAAAAGAATTTTATACAATTAAAAAAAACTGCTATAAAGCCTTGACATATTTTGTATAAATTTTGGATTGCTATTTTCGTTGAGTGCGTGTTATAATAAAATGTATATAAAGCTTTTTAATGATTTATTAAGTATAAGAGTTAACAAAAAATACAAATTAAATATGATTTTTTATTCTGTTTACATGAAATGAATGTATTTAAAAAAAACCAAGAATGATAAACCAATAACTTGACAATTTAAATTATGCACTTATTTTAAGCCATACCTACATCGATAAATTAGGCAAATATATTCATACGTCTATTCGTGAGCATTCTACCACTTTTTATTATCAAATATTAGGCATTTTAACTTAATTATAAAAAATAAAATCTCATAGATTGCAAATAATTTGTTAATATAGATACTTTTTTTTAATAACAACTTATAAAACTAATTTTTGCCTACAGTATAAATTATAATTTATAGGAACAACAAATTAAACATTTTTTTTTTAAATTAAATATTTTGTGAAATATAAAAATAAATGTTTATTTTATTTTATTGCGTAAACTTTTTTTTAAATTACTTTTTTATTTAAATAATTAGTTTAAAAATATACAAGATGATTTTTTTATCATGGGTCACATAAATTGACTGGTCGATAACTATTTTTGAAGTAATTGAAGTTTCAAGTTCATGGCAGGAAGAAAGGTGGAGTGTAGTATTATTTTTATCTGCGCTCATTTCCCAACGGCACTTCCCCTTCCATATTAACATTTAAACTCTTATAACTTAAAAAATAGTTGTCTAAAACTGGTTATCGACCAGTCAAAATTTTTAGTACATTATTTGCAATTTAAAAAGTTAATGACATTTATGCGTTACCATTTAAGTTTCAAAGGTGGCTATCAAAAAAACTAAGTTGGGAGGAAGTTAAAAACAAAAAAATTGTGAGAAATTGAAATCACATTGTATAAAAACATTATGGAAAATAACAATAAATTATTAATTCAACCCAGTGAGATATTGAGTGGTTTACGATAAGTTGATCACCTGTATATGTTAAAAATTGAAAACGTACTTATAAATTAAAAATATATTTCGAAATTTTATTCGTTTTTATAAATTTGTATTTAGATTATACGCCTACAAGTTTATTATAATTAGTATTAGATGTCATCCCAAAGGATTACTTCACACAATACATTAAATATTTTACCCTTTTGTCACTCACACGCGGAGGAAGCTGTTAGCGATTTTTCAAAATTTTTATTCGATTGCCCTTCCCTTTGTATCTAACAAGATCATGCTTTTTAATTTCCTAGCATTACATGTTATTCATCATCCTGGTGTTTTTAATATCTTTAATTTCCGTTCAGTTCCACCTTGCTAAGCCCTTTGACAATATATACGATCTTATATAACCTAATTATAATATTTATTTTATTTTGAGCGATGATTGCACTATTTAGCTCACTTTTTTTATCATGTACTTAAAATTACTTATTTCTATTATCCTCTACCTTTCTATTTACTTGTATCTATTGCGAATTATGTAATGATACTTTATTATGTAATATACTTTGTATATTTTATTAATAAAGGCTATAAAATAATAAAATAATAATTAATAATATATCCCCATCTCAAACAAATTGGGTTCTATTGGATATAATAATATATAATTAGCTATACTCTAATCTGTAATGTTCCTAATTGCTATATGTACAATATATTATTGTCTGTTGTGTACTTTATACTATGAATGGGATAATATAATAATAATAAAATAAACAGCAATCATAATAGATGACAATAATAACAATAATAATTACATATTATATTATAGAAATAAAGCCATTACAGTTAGTAGTAGCGCGCGCGGCCACCGGTGCGGTGGTCCACGGCCGGGTGCAACGATCTTGGAGGCAGAGGCGGTCGGAGGCACAAAAAGCCTAACTCGGTGGCCGGTCGGTTCAGAACCTATCGCGTCCGCGCGCGCGCGTGCAATCGATATGCGGGGCGAACGCCTAACCGAAGACTGGACACCGCGGCGGCGGGGAGGGTGACGTAGAGAGTGGACGGCCACGACGGTCGAAATGGTGACGTGGTAGGCGGACGGACGCGGGAAACGCAATGCTCGCGGCGGCGGCAACGGCGGCCTCTGTGTTTTTCTTTTATATTATTTTTATAACTCTCCTCCGCCGCAGCCGCAGCCACTAACCGGATCCGAACGCACAAGCGGCCATTAGGATGCCCGCAGCATGTACACACTGCAATGAGAAGAGATGAGAAAGAGAGAGTGAGAGAGAGAGAGGTAAGGCGAGCACAACGCTCTTCCAATATGGCGACATTATTTTTTTTTTTTTGCCGCCTTCAAAGGCGATTGAACTATATTTTTTAACTATAAATTGTTTTACAACACATATTTGGTTTAGTTTGTATAGGTTTTTTTTTTATCCAAATTTTGATTTATAATAATTTGGTTACAATATTCCGTACCAATACTTGCCGTTCGAAACGGTAGTGCATTAAGGAAACGTTTTTTAAGCAAACATCAACATAATATAATATCGTATAAACTTAACTATACATTACTGGTCAAAAACTGGTCACGGCTATTATTCATTATTTTTATTATATAGTTGTATACTGCATGATAATTTGAATATTTTCAATTATTCTAATCGTTGAAATCGATCGTGCTCATCATAACTATACAAATCACTTGGCCACTCTTATTATTTAAAGCGACAACAAAATAGGTTATAAAAATGTATATTCAACTTGTAAACGTTAAACTTGCACAGGTGGCAAGTAAGCCAATGACGTTTAATGCAATTATAAAAAAAATTTACATTTTTGAATCTGTTCACCAAAATAACATACATTACAAAGCCGAACCTATTCATAAATATCTTTCACGATTATTTTTATATTTTTGCTCGTTGACCTTTACGCGCGATATACCTATGTAAGTGTTTATGCATAACAAATTATTATTGTGTATTTTTATACTCCTTGGGTGTGAATAATCTAAAGCCTGTATAACTATAAATAATATGCACATGAAATTATACTCTGAATAGTGTCTGCGACGGTCTAGACTCAGACAACATAAATATGTTTAATGGGAGCAACTTTTTCTTGTACAAGCCCAATGCCGGTCGGCGAATCTACAGCGCTTGTAATTTATTTATCTTGAATAATTTGTATGCAAAAGAAGAAAAAAAAATCCAATAATAATAAAAATAATATAGTTTATATTGAACGTTAAATTAAAAACTGTAGAATCATAACAAAGAAAAATAGTATCAACATAATTGTATTTGGAATAAAATGTGCACAGACCTCTCACAGTGAACATAATGAATACAATTAATGACCTCTCTTGTTAGACAGAATATGATTTGCACTTAAACATGATAGACCGCTGTATGTTTACTTAGTTAAATGATTTAT